ATATAACTAGCCTCAGGAACACATACTTACGAGGGGCAATGGGTGATGGGTAGAAAGCATGGGAAGGGGACTCTTAGGAAATGGACAGTTGATGACGAGGGAACTAGAACAGTGAGTTGTACAGTGTTTGGGTCATAAACACGAAAATGTTCGATTTGATATTATAACAATTCTAGTTATTTTACTGTGTGTGTTCGTATGGAATCACATTACTCGAGGAAACAATTCGCATAGTAATGACTATGGAGTTTCACCACCCTAGTGATATGAAAAACACTAGTAAAAATACATTTCACGACTACTGCATAGCACCGCGAATATCGCGTCTTTATAGAGTATTTCGCCACTTCACGTAAAACGGGTTGTTGTGAAACTCCAATGAATCGTCAGTAGGTAGTCGCAACGTATGAGGGTGACTGGGAAAATGGTTTGAAACACGGAAAAGGTAAATTAAGGATCGGAAATACAGTCTACGATGGAGAGTTCAAATCCGGAGTGATAGACGGCAAAGGAAAAATGGAATGGTGAGACTTCATCAGCTCCTTAAGATGAAATCATATCAGGACTAAGGACGGTAAAACGATAGAAGTATACACTGGTGAATGGAAAATGGGATTGCAACATGGTCGGGGAGTTCATGTGAGGGTGACAAATGCTCTTACTGCTATGGTTCTCTAGTTAAACACAATCTCATCTCGAGATCAAAGCAGTGTGGGAAATTTGGAATTTTTTCCTTTGGTTCTTCGCTAACCGATTTTTTCCCGATAGCTTCACCGAAAGAGATATAATTCACTATGTTATGACTTATTGGGTTAAATGATAGAGGACGGCAGAAATAGTGCGGGAAGATTTGCTCATGGTCAACTGCATGTGTTGGTGGAAATTTCAGGAGATTCTTGTTGGTTTTATTCGCACTACTTGTACCCGAAATCGTTAACTTGTATTAGTGCTATTAGACTTTGCATCACATTAAGGTGTAGTCTGCTGCTTTGATAATAATTAGATATGGTACTCGCCTGGTGCTGCTGGTCGACACGTTATGATGATGATGAACCGCTACGATGGAGAGTGGAGAGATGGAAAGAGGCAAGGGCGTGGTAAGGGATTATCATTATAACACTATTACACTATCGAGCTCTGAGTCGGCTGAAGCGTCTCTCGATTGCCTAGGCGCTGATTATATTGAATTGTGGGTTAGAGTGTTGTTGTTGGTATCTACTTTGAGTAGTGTATACCGAACCATAATAGGGGTAGATTACATATGTTGATGGAATATTAGCTTGAAGCTAGTTGATGATTTTATGATTACGATTGTAGATAGAATGTCTAGATTCCATTAACCACTGCTTTGAGTTTCCTAATGGTTAACGTATCATCTCAAGGTACGTTCTACTATGGTGATGGATCTATTTACACTGGGGGATGGGATAATAATAAAAAGCATGGTGACGGAGTTATGCAAGATAAAGATGGACACATATATCGATGTAAGTTGAAGACCTGTGAGTGTTGCTCGTAATAATGACAAAACGCATGATATTTAGTTCTACCCGTAGACTCTTTCTTGATGAATTGGTAAGTGTGGACAATTTCACAGTCCGTACTCTTACTGACAACTGATCGTAGTGATGTTCAAATTGAGGATATTCGCATCAGATTTATGAGTCGAATAGTTACATTTTAATTCTTTGCCTCCAAAATTTGGCTTATTTAATAGAGTTTCCCATTCTAATGTGTAGTCATTAAATGTTTTGATTGACAGTTTTTTCTTAAAGTGTAACTCAAACCGTTATGCAAAGAAATATCTTCAACGTCCTCAATTTTTGGCAGTTCGGTAGTTAAGTTAGAGTAACATCAACATGATAACTAAGCGAATCGATTGACACCAACGTACTAGGTCATAACCTATGATAAGAGAAAACCATCTGAAAAAGCTAGATATGCATAACTGTAGTCATAATATCAGGCTCGTTCGAAGCGGACAAATGCATCAGTGAAGTATCCATTGTATGGAATGATGAGAAGGTATCATCTCAATACGTGAACTACTTTAAAAGTGGTTATCATTTCAAGGACCTTTTGCAAACCCTGTCGATAGAGGTAAGTCGGGGGGGTTACTCTACAGGCCACAATCTGGCATGCTTTAGGATGAAGGAGGGATGAGTTACGAAGATATGAAGCGCGATGTACTCGATACGTTGTTACGGTATGAGAAGAGCTTGAAAGAACTTTATCGGAGGTAACTTATCGGTGGGAAATGAATTGTCCTTTTATTCTGGACGGTATTCGGAGATCAGTTGATGATAGTATCTGCTGCCTCATCAAACGGAAGTTCGTCGTCCTAGTAGTAGTGAATACCGCTTACCAACTCACAACAGTTTGAGAACTGAACAACGAGTTACTTAGGGAAAGGGATGAGTTTTGGGTCAAGAAATTTGTGTGCATCATCATGATCTGGCCTGTGCATGACTTATCATAATTTATTGGTTCAGTGTGGAGATATGCGCATGTGATCAACTACACATTTGGATGACAATATGAAAATTTATAGAAACTCTTGTTGGTTTCCAAAAACTTCTACCCAAATTCGTATATAAACTTATATAATAGGTTTGGGAACTCCTGATCTCAGCTGAGGGAAGCGAACACATATTCCTCAAACACTGTGTCGGTCTGTCGTTAATAGGTGTATCAAAAGGCGAGGGAAATGCATTTGGGAAGATTCTACCGTCTTGGTCTCCATGGATTTATGGAAATTATGGCGAAGTTGGGACGTTCTCAAGGATGTTGGAATCGCCTTCATCAATAGACTTATTACCAACAAACCTCGTAAGAGTATAGCAATATTATGTAACCACTTGTCGCGGTGGAGAGTATCCTATTTAATGTATACATATTAGTATAATTTGATATTGGAGTTTCACCCGTTTTACGTGAAATTGTCAGTGAAAAAGCCGATATTCACGATGTGCATCTGACTATATCGATTCAGGTATAAGTGGAGCCAATGGTAGGGAGAAGTGCTCGAGACATGTTCGTGGGAATGAGCATTTAGGTAAGTGAGATAGTTGGTGTGGGGGGGTGTGCCGTCTTTATTTTCAACATTTAATCTTCCCGGAAATTTCCGGAAAGAAAATACCCTCACGTTTCCGGAAAAGTGCGTATTTTCAAAATATGAGCGTCGTCGATTACATGTGTTGGTGACAATAAGGAAACTCCGAGGATAGTGATGATGGCATTCGTATACTTGTACTGCACGTCATGTGCATTTTTATGAAGTTGTGAACACCTACTCCAGCGTGAGTATTGATGAACCGAACTCGAGAGGGAAGAGTGGAAACTAACCTTTCTAATAGCGAATAGCGCAGCTTGTGGTATGTCACAACTACAGAGAAATAACACAAAATGAGGAAACAATGATAAAATATCT